CCGGTAGGTACAATATAATAATAATAATATTATAATGACTCGCATTCGATTTACCTATATTGACTTTATACCAGAACTCTATCTTCTGGACGTTTTTTTTAGTAACTTTCAAATTACTACAAGCGGTACCTCGTTTTTGTTTATTTTTACTTAATTGACTTTATTATTTTTTTTATCTATTATAATATGGTAAAATAATTTCTTTAAGTTACATAATGTTTTGACTCTTCTGAAAAGTCTTAAAAATTTGACTTGTCCTCTACTTTCTACAGTAAGTCGTAAACGGTCCAAGTTATCTTAAACGTTAGACGTTTAAATGCTTAAACTGCTGTAAATAGATAAATGATAATAATATCAATAAAACGTCAACTATAGGGAAAAAATGAATGATTGAAAACATTATATCAAAACATGATATTGTTATGTAATTTGCAAAAACAGGTATGTTCTGATCATGAAATACTGGACTATGAACCAATGTATGATTTGTGTTTTAGACTTAAGAGTGAGAATTTATTAAGAAGATAGTATACAAATTTGCAATACGATCAGGTTAAGGATTATTGCCAGTCGTTTCTCGTTGTTGTATACATGACTAAATACTTAGCATTATAAATTATAATTAGGACTAATATTAGAATTCTGGTTAGAGTTCAGTCAACAGTAACAATAGAGTTTTGGGTGTTCAAAAGTAATATGGAAATCGTAGTGGTTTGCCGTTTGTTCTTTATGAAACTGGTAGAATATCTAATTTTATTTAACGTGTTGTATAAGTACCTTGTTGCTGATGTTAAATTAATGATGAACAATGAAAAAGTAATGCATTTTTCTATCTTCAAAACTATATCTAGCGCAAACTGATGGTTTAGGACTAAATGGTTGACGCAAACATAATGATTAATTTTTAAAAAAATTGTATTTTTACTACATGCGACCATTACGTTTACAAGGAAAGCTCGTACAAATTTGCAAATATAACTTGTAAAAACGAGTCACGCCTAACTTGCTTAACGTCGGACTCATTTTCCTTCACTTGTTTGAAATTATGTACTTACTTCATGACGTCACATTATTGTATTGTCGCCTTGCATATTAGTATTTTACTTACCTATACATACCTATAATTTTATATGGGCACTTCAACATTTTTTTTTTTATTGGCTTGCCTATATCGTCCGACAATTAATATTGCTATACGATCTGTTCACGCCGTAATAAATATTTTATAGTTGGAAAAAACCGTTCTTATACCGAATCGTACGCTTCCCGAAACGGTTAAAACCAGAATCCGGTCCAGAAACAAAGTACCCCAGCCATTGGCCGTGGGTCATCATCGCCGGCACCTGTTGGCGCCACAAATAATAATAAAAAATGCACACGCGGCCGTGTGTGTCGAATTAAACGCTTTACCATTTCACCATAATAATATGAAGACTTCGATTACGCCAAGGTTATCGATGGCACGCGATCAAAACACCTTTCGTAAGTCCTTTTTAATCCGTCCGGGACAGCTCTTCTCTCTCTCTCTCTCTCTCTCGAATAACTGAATAATTCAACCCCAAGAGATAAAACATGCATTAATAGTAATAATAATAATACAAATCTTTAATTAAATTATTAAATCAGTCATTCACTTATGTGTATATATACACAACTATTAAATTACTCGACGAAACACCACCGGTGTCCTAAAAAACAGATGCGCGATAACGATCGACTATGTATTAATAATGATGATATTATAACTATACTGTCGTATAAAGAAAGATTTGATGTGATAAACTAGAAAATCGGAATTACCTATTTGCCGTTATTATAAAATGTTAAAACTAGAAAATTAAAAAAAAAAATACCAGTACTGTGAAATAGTCATTAAATGAATTGCACGTGTGGGCGTTGATGTCTATGGACATTTCAAGAATATATGTGTATATTCATACATACTAATTTACTATTCTGCTTTACCCTTTTAACGGATGGTATGCAAATTGAAACCACCGTAAGAGATTAGTACCCAAAGTCTACTGCCGAAATCCAGCGAACAGTAGAATATTTAAAAAAACAGTAAGCGCGTTGGCTACTTTTTATTATTATTTTGTTATGGCAAAGACAACGTTGGTAGTTTTCACGTTTACGCGATAATTACACTCACGCCGAATTACAGCCGGACGGCACATACCAGCTGCTTCGTCGAGGAACATCAAAATCATTCGAATACACTAAAATTTCGAATAAATAAAAAAGTCCATCCGAAGCCAGTTGACGTTGCCTTCTTAAGTGGATTGTTTATTGTAATTTCGAATAATCCCGTGTAATAATTAAAAACATACAACCAAGTGGAAATAACATAAAGCTTATAATCTGGTTGAGAAATAACATTAGGTACATTAGGCAGTGGTTAATTAGGAAAACTGTTAGTGTACTAATAACTGGGTGGTGCGATATAATCAAAAAGTAAAAATACACGCATTTCATTTAGGTTTACGGACTTAACTTGGGGTGGTAAGTAATTATTTAACGCAATTTTTTTTCCCATTTACAATCAGTATTGTTTCACACAAATGTTTTTATGTAACTTATGTATTTTCGTTGGCATTGCATGCGATTACACGATAAGTGTACGTAGAATAATGTACCCACGCAACAGCGACCGATTGTATCAAACAAAAATAATAAAACAAGACTGCACGAAATGGTCAACGTTGATAACACTTGTAAGTAAAAATATCACACAACTTCTAATGTAGATACATTAACTATAGAAAAGTTGTAAAATCCATTTTTAAAGCCCTCGGCCGGCCGTTTATGTCGTTTTTACCTTGATTATTGCCATTTGCTAAAAATCAGTAATAAAAACTTCAAAAATCGAGCCACCCAACGATAAAAAATTAAAGCAAGTAAGCAAATGGTTAGCATTTATGTATTTTATGTATTTTTATATCATTTGTAGTACATAAAATCGAATTAGTTATTTTAGTAAAAAGAAACCAATTTGGTTGAATAATCGAATAATTTATTTATTTATTCTTCTACAGCCCAAACCCATAACTATAAATCCCTAAATCGTTCCTGGCCTATTAAGCTTTTATGTTTAACATACCGTGGTTATATTTTTCACTAATACTGTATACAATTTATATTTTACACAACGACGGTGTGAATCATAATTATTAACTATTATTTGTATTTAAGTGTGATGTGTAACTCACAAGGTAGTATAGTCAATTTATGGTTCTATGCTTAATTCGTTTAATGTATGCTATGTGTGTGTATATTTTAAGTATGTTCGTATAGGGACTATTGCTATTTGTACTATAGTCAAGTGGCCGATTCCTTTTATTAAGTCATAATCGTAATACAAACAGTCTACTCGAGAGGTATATTTTTTTATTATTTATTGTACCTGTAAATTGTATAATAAAATAGGTACTAATTGAATTCTCGCCATCGAGTGTCATTTACAAGTGCCCGACCGAGGTAAACCCTACATATACTTTGTGAGCGCGGTCGAGTGGCTTTATTTTTTTCATTTGTGTTTTTATATATCCTTTCCGCTTCCACAGGAAATGCACACTGGAATTATCGATCCGGGGGCGCACCCGGTAGTAGGCGCTGCTTTTATGTCGAAACTTTTAACTTGCGGTTTCGACGCCTGCGGAAACCCCTCCTGCTATATATATATATATTATATATGTATACACATGTATAGAAACAGTACACGGGCGAATTTATATGTACCATGCAGCAATTTTTTATGAACATAGGAAAAGAAATTCGGCGGGCCAAAAGGGTGTAACGCGCGAGGGGAAGGTGTTGTTTATAGGGATAGACAGGAGGAGTGTACATAAGTGAGACGGCGGTGCGGGGGAAAACTCTGCGTGTCCATCAATCATACGGCGCGACCGAGGCAATAGACAGGGGCCGGGGTGAAGGGGTCGGTCGGAGTGTTCGACGGGGAGGAGAAGAACGAGACGGAGGGGAGGGGTGCGAGTTTTCCGAGTACGCCCTCGGAAAATACATTTTTCATGACTCTTTTAGGGGGTAATCGGGCGCGGTACCAACGTTTCTATATATATATATACATATATATACATACAGCTAAATCAAGACCCGTAACTGCTATAGTGCAGGGACGGCAGCGGCGTTATGAAAACTTTGCCAGAATCTTTTTCACAGCCGAGCTTACACGCCATTGATACTGTGTGTATGCGTGACCTAAGTGTACAATGTACACGCCTATACGGGTGCAATAGAACATTGCAACAGTACAACTTGGACTAACATTACATACGGTGAGATGTAATTTTTTTTTTTATAATTTTGTTAAGGTACTCATAATATATTATGGTATTATTTTTGGTAGTGAAAGATCTGTTATTTTACATGTACTATGATAAAACACAATAAAAGTAATAGGACAAGTATCTTTATAATGTACAGGTTCTCGACATCTGATGCAAGCTTTCATATAATATATTTAAAAAAAAATGCTTTTATTTTTTTACTCGTGTGGCTAAAAAACTATTTTTAGTAATTTATATAATGTTATCTCACATGTAGACTAAATATATTACAGTACGATGCATAGTTTTTTCGGTTTGACTATAAATTTCAGATTGCACCGAGTAAAAAAACCGAGTGCATATTGAAATATGCCACTCGGATAACTGCCGGGTGTAGGTGTCTATTCTATTGTATTCTATATTCTGATGACAAAATATGCTCAAGACTACTGACAAAAGGCTACTTGATAATAGTTGAGAATCGGAACGGTTTTAAGGAAAAAATCACGGTTTCGTATAAATAATGAATATATCACTTTAAATAATGAAATTATCCAATAATAATAATAATAGTGACACAATAAAAACAACTGAATAATAATGTCGATTAATAATACAACTCTAATGAATTTTGTTTTTCATTATACGCACATATATATAATATATGTATATATATATTTTTAAAATTATTATTTACAAAAAAAAAAAAAACGTACAACAACATATAGATAATAATAATATAATTATTATAATAATTTTTATTACTGCACCGGAGCCCGTCTTTCCGTCCGCGTTCGATGTTATCATTTTGGCTTTGGCTTGCTCGGTTATTGTTATTTCAGTTAATATAATAAAATATTAAAGATAACAGCCGCGAACCACACACGAACGAGTGCACGTCCACACAGGGAGGAGATGAGTGAAAAACGAAAGTATTACAGTTTGAGATGTACATAGGCGGATACACACGTCATGTCCATCGCACACCGCAGAGGGGAGAAGACGTAGAACGACGAAAAAGTATAAAGAGGTTTTCTAGTATAGGAGGTAGGCATATAAAAACTATGTGGATTGTATTATACTCCTGAAACATAAAACAAAACAAGAAGCGTAAGAACGAGTACGATAATTATTGCTATAAAAATTCGTGTTTTTTTAATTACCGGTCTCACCTGTTTTTTTGTTTTTTTTTCAAAACAAATTGTCTTCAGGGACTCGACGTGTCGTTGTGGAGACTGTCGTCGCTCTCCAGGTACGTGACGAACGAGTCGGTAGAATCTGGATGCATCATGTCAACCGGACCCGGATCAATGTCTAACCTGGTCATTGGCGGCGGCGGACCGTGTATGTCGTAACCGTGCATCTGCGCAAACAACAACACACAAAGATGTTAGAAAACCCAGAACGGATTGGCAAAAAAAAAAAAACACTAAAATCCGTCGAGTATGGATTTGAGTTTTGGTGTATGTAAACTGCGCTAAAAATGACCCTTTTTCTATAAGCTGTTATGTAAACTGCGGCAAAAACAATTTTAACATTGTACAAACTGCGCCAAAAATGATAAGGTACATTCTACAAACTGCGACAATTTATTTTATAAACCTACTATATAGTATGTAATATTGTATTGTAGTATATAAATTTGTATTGGTCAATTTCAAGGTCCCTTCCCGCACTATTCGACACCATGTCCCATTCTTAGTTTCTACGCACACTACAAATTATGGCAAAAATAATCCTATTGATCGCATGATGCGGCAGGTCAATGAGAGTACCATTTACCATAATATATTATTTTAATATTATTTTTTTTGTCCACTTTACTATTACTAATTTATATTACCTGTTATTATTATTATTACTATTATTGAATTATTATCATGTTTAAACTTATATAGTATCTAAATTTGTATTGTCCTGTGTTAAATTGTTGTAAAGGGCTTTGCCCGTAAATATATATAAATAAATAAATAAATATACTATAATATATAAATACCGTATACCGATAAGAATGCTATCTTGTACCATATATTATTATTATAGGTCTATGGTGTGCACATAGTCAATAAGAGTAAATAATAAAAATTAAAAAACAATTTAAAAATACATATGAAATTGAAAAATATTATTATTTAACTAAAATTAATTTGTATATCTAATATAATACTGTCTAAGAAAATAAAAAATTATTATTATTATTATTAACATTTTTAAAACATGCCAATTTCAAAAATTCGTAGGTTTAAATTTCTTTCTTTTTTTTTTTGTACGCAATAACATCATTGATTAAACGATAAACGTGTATAATAACACGTTAGTACATATTATGATTTCCGTACCTACACGAGTATATTATGTTACCGTATCGGTATATTATTGTATACAACTAATATAAGTATAATATTATATACTACATAGTAGGTATATAAAATAAATTGTCGCAGTTTGTATAATGTTTAAATTTTTTTGCCGCAGTTTACATATGAGATTATAGAAAAAGGGTCATTTTTGGCGCAGTTTACCATCTCCCTTGAGTTTTGGTGTGTTTCTTTTGCCTACTATGGAGCCAATAGTAATATCAATAATAATAATAGTAAAACACTATATAGATAGTATAATATGGACACCATCGCCAAGACGTGACGATATTATTGTAATGTTTTTGGGAAACGAAGAATTTGTAATATTACAAATTATATGTGTATCGTATATGAGAAACGAGACGAATACTCGTTTTGGAATATTAAATACCGCAGCATACAGGGTAGACGACGGAACTATAGCTGGTTAAACAATTACCGAATTGAGTTTTTTATTTCTCAACGATAGGAAAATAATATATTAAGCAATGTGGCCCACCCTGTATAACAACACGACTCGATAATATTATTTTTATATATTACGAGGTAGCGGACGACATTGTCATGTGACATCACACCGTGACCGCGGTGTAGTTATAGTAATAATAATAATAAAAAAAAATAATTATACATGCTCAAGGGCAGTGTAATCCCCCGGTAAGACGACAGCCCGCACTGCATATTATTATACTATAAAGTCGTGTGCGAGTATACTGTTACGCGTTTCAAACACACACTACCGGGATTATCCTTGTTGTCGGGTATACCGTGGCTACCGCTTATACGTAATATTATTATATAGTCTTGGGCATATTATTAAGTACGTACACAAAGTGTTAATGAAAAAAAAAAAATACAGGACAATTCTTGACAGCGACGGTCCGGAGAAAAATAATAAACCTCATCCGTATAGGTTTATCGTTGTACGTATACTTTTTTTTTATTAAATATTTACACGAGCGCAGCTGTGTTTGAAATTTTGATTTAATAAAAAAACAAATATTACAATAATATATATACCTGATTAACGAGCTGTTGGAAGTGCGGTTGACTGGTGTCGACCCGGTCCAGGTCGGAGTGCAGCGCAAACTCAGACAGCGCCTTCCACGGCGGTTGGAAACTCTGCACTTCTATTTGGTTCATGCCCAAAGGGCTGTCGTGCCGGACCGGGCTGGACGCGACCATAGGTATACCCTGCATGCTGCCGTAGCCCATTTTTCTGCCGTCCTGCAAACGCCATTATTACACAACGTTGTTAATACAATACCAATCTTGAGAATATAATATAAAAATTATAGAATTATAATGCGATTTTCTTATTCGTATAATACGCGTAACCCCCCCCCCCCCCAAATCATATACCAATATGATATTATGTAAATCGTGCTCGACGTAGCTTCTATTAACGGATAACCCATTCGATATAGAAATGGGTTAAAAATATTGATCGACAACAAGGGCCCGAGGACAAACGCGCGCTATGGTTTATTTAAGAACGTTTGCGGTGTGGCGGCGGAAGACAAAAAAAAAAATAAAAATAAAATAAAAGAGTTATAATAAAACGACGGGCCCACGTCAGACTTATATCGGTTGGGGAAAAAAACGCACCGCCCAAGTCGTTGGCATACCCTCAACGAGCCGTCTATAAGCCAAATTGACGTCTTGAAAACGAATACTGGCAGGTATTTTAAGAAAGCGTGCCGACAACTTACAGCTAACCGAATATTAAATTCAGACAAAACGCGAATATTAAAGCAAAAACTCTGCGTTTTTAGTATGGGTAAGTGACACGATAGACACATATGTGTATGATGTTTAATATAGCATCTGCCACTTTCGGTATTTTTAAATATTACTACTTGTCGAAACGGACAGGAATGATTCGAGTATTTGTTAATAGTTTCGAATTTTTGCTGAACTCATATTTAACTAACGTTTACAAATATAAATACCCAATTTCAACAATCATTCAGAATTATGTTAATTGATAGTACTATGTGACCGTACGAATACTTCTATTGTTATTTGTACATTTATATGCCTAATTGACGGATGCCTATTTTGATATCGATTATACTACATAGTCATCCTGGGACGTTAATAAGTATGATAATTGTATAGGCTGAAAGCCGTTGACGGGGTCCGAGTTCCATCTTTAGAGCGGTTTTCTCAATACCGCACAGCAAACAAGTTTTGAATAGATTTTTCTATACTCTCTTATAGGTCGGCCGGCAACACTTTTTACAAGGCGTATGATCTCGTGCCATCCGGCGGCGGCAACGTCTTTACCGGCTGTGGACCTTACCTATATATGTATATTATTATAGGCGTATCTCTATACAGCCGGCATATATAACACACAAACCTGTGCATAATATTATAATGGTGACGCGGCGGCGGCTGTGGCGTTATTTATTAATTAAATTAACCCTATCCGATACTTGTAGAGGGATACACATATTATACAAACATATATACCTATATGTTTATATATAAATCGTATGTGATAAATACGATGCGGCAGACTGGCGTCGTCGACCAGAGGGAAATAATATTACCGCCGAGGAAAATACACGGATTCTTCGGTGGCGACGACCGGCGCCAAACGGACGAAGCGATGGCGACACACGTATATAATGTACACACTATATTATACACTATATACTTATTATACACGGCGTGTAATCGGAAGGCCGTAGTGGTCGCCGGTGGTGCGGCACCAACCGGTTTTCAAATGTCCGCTAAACGAAACTCGAGAAATTCTCGGGTACACGTATTTAATATTAATACTCGGCCCATAGTAATTATTACAACTTATACAATAAACGTACAAATACATAAAGTTGGGGTGGGGTGAGGGGACGCGCATATTCGACAACCGAAAACCACATATTATTATATCAAGTCGGACTGCCCCGATGTCAGAGGTTGTGCGCGGTAATGATGTTTACTTGTGCATAGCACCTCAATAATTCCAGAATAACCTATAATTAATATGTTATGTACCCGTTGTTTGCCCTCCGAGTATAAAACGTCCAAGGGTTGTACGTATTTTAAAGCCCCTTGTAGCACATCTATTATATAGTATACCTATAGCTTCCAGAATGTCGACCCTGCGGCACGAGATTAAACTTTTTGCGGGAGACCGAAATATTACAATTTTATATATGCGTACTTTGTCTTGTTGGATTTGCTGTTTGAGGGCGATGGCGCGCTTCTTGTCCTTGCACCGTTTGTTCTGGAACCACACGCGTATGACCCGCGGACTAAGTCCGGTCATCTCGACCAGTTGCTCCTTCATGAGCGCATCCGGCCTCGGGTTGGCAGAGTAGCACGTCCTCAGGGTGTGTAGTTGCTTTTCGTTGAGCACGGTCCGGACCCTAGTGGGTTTGCCGTCCGACGAGCCTTTGCCGGCCGAACCAAGCCGGCTGTTACCGGGTCCGTCGGATCCCGTTCGACCAGAACACTTGTTCGACCCCGATTCAGAGGAATCTGCAAAAAAAAAAAAAAAAATGACTTCAGATAAATCTGTTGAATAAAACGGCCAGTCGCGCTCTTCTATAATTATAAGGATCGTCGAAAATCCTTTTTAGCAGTCTTACAACAATCAAACAACTTTCATGACCGTGCCATCCTACATAAGCTCATCAATTGAGCTCCTGTACATAACGACATTTTGTCTAAGAAATTCGCACTATTTCTGTTGCGCAATTACATAATATGTATGCACCATGCAACACGGTATACCGCGTATAATGATTAACAATAATATAATCCTTTATTATGTACTTACAACACTTTATTGACGAGCGGTAATGACGTGGAAAAATGATTGCTACGCATACACGACAAATGGATTAAGTGCGCGGACTTGTGGATGATTCGGTGCCGGGTTAAGTGCGCGGTGCGTTTTAATGGAGGGTTCTGTTGGAGCGTATACGTGTAAGTATAGGCGGCCTAGATTTCACGCCGGGATTTTCGGGAGTGAAAAAAATCCTGACGCGGGGTGCTGAAGAGTAAACATACGGGAAGGCCACACAAGTGGTCCAGTTCTCATGGTCCCTTACATCCAGTCCGTACCTCGATAACCCTATCTCCGTCCCCGCCACCGTGTACACAGCACACACGACGGAAAAAAAAATCACCCACGACAGCTGCGAAAATATTCGTTTCGGATTTCCGTCTCGTTCTCTTATGATGATGTGATGTGTGTGTGTGTGCGTGTGTGTGTGTGTACACGACCCTGTATATGTAGAGGCGGTGTGATGGAAAACCAATGTATAGTTGTTAGGAAAAAAAATTGAATTTATATCGGAACCGCATAGGAGGGAAGTGTCAAAAGAACGTGACAACCGTCATAATATAAGAATTCATTTTAATATATTATAAAATAATATATCAATTTATAATGTGGAACGAATAGATGCGCCGCTCGGTAATGAAACTATAGAACTCTTAGGTTACTTTAATATACTTGACTTCGAGCTAGCAATAAATTGATTCCTCTACTACGGCCGGCTTACGCTGTGTGAAATGGAAGTTCTAACTTATTTTATTACATAGTATAATCAAGTCGAAACATTTTCTATAGTCTCTAAACTCTATTAAATGTTTATAAATGTTCAATGGATTCGGATTTTGTTTGAGAAATAATTTAAACAACTTATAAAGCTAAAATTTTCTAGCAAGTTTCCCCGGTAGGCAGTATTTTTAAAAACGAGGGAAGTAGAGTAACTCTTTAAAAACTTCCTTCCCGTGTTTTTTCATTCTCTCATTTAAAACGTCGAGAAAAAAAAAGTAAAATCGGGGATTTAGCCTACAGCGCGAAAAACAGCAGAAGTATACTTATACATCTAGATATATTTATATAAAGCACCTGCAGTCGCAAACGAGTATTTTACGAGGGCGAATCCTGAGCAGAGAGCTTTATTTTTAAATCTCTGAATATAGCGCGATAATATATTTTTTCTACCCTTGTTTTTTCGCAAAATATATCTGTATACATATTTTTGTATATAAATATACGCAAAACCCTTTATCCCGAGTATTAGTTTAATATTTTATATCTCTTCATCCGCTTTTCTTTTGTCTAGACGTTGCTGGGATAGGTCTTTTTCATATTTTGAATTTACTCAAGAAAGCATTAACAATACATTTTTACCGCAATATTTATCGGAGCATATAACGTAAAGCTTATGTAAGTCGGTTGACGCTCATAAAAGTGTGATAAACGCAGTTTGGAGAAAGAGTTTATGGGAGAACATATCGTACTAGGCAGAAGTCAAGAGGCCACTTTTGTACTTGTACTATTATAATATAGGCAAGTTCACTCATTTTTTGAAACCGAATAGATAACAATCTCCTTCTCTCCCTTTTACTTCTCTAGTGCGCAACGCAGAGTTGAACCTATGGCTGCGACACCGACAACGTGGCTTGACAAGAATCTAATATTGTAACATATTATTGTTTACTTGTGATGCACACTCCGTAGGTAATTTTTAACTTAACATATCTAAACCTATTGAGACGTCACCCGATCCCCTCGAGTACGGTGGTCGTAACGCTTTCGGGACGGTAACTGAAAATTATCGCGTTTTAACCGCATTATATGATGGGGGACGAACTTACACACTATCATAACGATATATAGGTTTAGGCCCCCGGGGAGAAGTTCCTAGTCACCGGTGTCCTGCAGCTCTGCAGCCAATAGGGAATTGCCTCGACGTTTACGGCCCGCGGTCGCTGAATTACATCCGCATAACCACCGAAGAAAAGCCCTGCTTTCCCGATCCGAACCGGAAACGTTTTTCAATTTCTCAATATAATAATATAACGTTACATATTATATTATTATATACTGCAGCCCTACCCATACGCCGTAATAATAACAATAATAATAATAATACTGTTGCGGTTTTGCCGGCGTGTACACAATACATATAATAGAAGCGTGTGGGGTATAGCTATAGGAAAATAAAAAATAAATAAATAATAAGAAGGCAAATTGAGGGTTGTCGGCTGGATTGAGTGGTGTCTTCGCGTCCGGAACCGTTTGTATTCGAAAACCGGCGTTCCGGCACCAACGTCAAAGGCCACGTGACGGTTTTATTGCATACTGTATTATTATATAGTATATTATAGAGTTCCCCCATATATACTAAACTTTCCGTAATACACAATACGTGCAATCGTCTTACATATATATATATATATATGCATATAATCTATAAATCAAAACACAAATACAGATATGCGCGGTTAACTTAATGTTTACTGGTATTGGCGAGGTCTTAAATTGAAAATATTTATAGTAATCCTAAATTGAAACAACTGTGTTATTATTAATCGATTCCCCGTCAAAAACAGTTGATGTAAAATAATAGTGACAATTTTTCTATGAAATATTATTGAAACTTGTTATCGTCGTGTGGTTTAGCGTTTAGCAATGTTAACGTTATTCGCCTTTAGACTACCTTGGTTGTAGTTCATGAAGACACCACGGGCATTGTCTCCTAAAACCCGGGCAGAACCTGCATGGATACATCAGCCACAATAGTTTAGTAGCAGACAAAAATAATTTTAAAAGCAAAAAGTAACTTTGCATGTGTCCATTGTAATATGGCTTGTCCGTCTACTACACACGCATTATAGCGATCAATGTTGATATGTATTTGCCATATTATCATTACAGTATTGACTTTACTTAGGTATACATACCTATAGGAATTTGCATGTTACAAATCAGATTACCTTATACGTATCGAATTGCGTTATGTCATTCGAGACTAATAAGGACACGCACAACCATATTAGACCATAATATATATAACATAATTTGTTTGTAATAAAAAAATGTATTAAGATTTTTATCATCGAGAAAGGTGATTATGAAATTTTCGTTACAAAGTGCTTTGAAGCCAGTTCAGAAATGCTTCGCTTTTTGTGGGATTAAAACCAATATCAGCTCGTCGCACAGAAATAGTTACAATAAATTTGTGTGAAAAAATTGTATTTTTTAAAAACAATCCCCCCTCCAGAAAATCTGCTTAAATAAAATGTGTGTACTTATACGCGCTTGTCGTTGGCGATGATTAGGAAATGTTATGTTTCCCATCTCCCCACGAGTCAAACCGAAAACGACGCCTATTATAAACATGAAAAATTATATTATACTCATATACGCAGGCCGACACGCGGGACTAACTCAATTTACCAAACTAATTTCATTAACCCCGCCGGTGATATCATATTATATTATAATATTATATACATATGTGTGTGCGCTTGTGTGTAGAAAAGTGAAGTTAACGCTAAACATCGGTGAATGGTTTTGGGACACGGGGTTGAATATATATATATAGGGTTTGTTTTGTAAATAGGGTTCGTTTAGCGCGCGTATGTCCGTTGCCGCCGCGGGGTAAAACGCGTCGGCAAGGGCGAGGTACACACGCGCAAAAACGACTTCTGCCCGGCACTACCCTTAAGAACCATCTGAAAACGCTTTTAACGTGATTAAACTTACCCCGGATCCTATATACCGCCCTCTATTTTTTTTTCCCCGAGTCCGTTGACGCGTAATCGATATTTTATATTGTATGGATAGACAGACGCTCGGACGCGCGCTTAGAGGGACAATCATATTCGGACCCACAACACCGTGTAAGTATACACGACGCTTCGGGGAATTACCTTGTACCTGGATAGCGTAAAATTCTTAACGTATACGGTGGACAAAATAAAAAACTGGCACGTGCGCACTGAATGAGTTTGAAAATGCCCTGTCGTTGAAAATATAATTCGATTTGAAGTTTTAATAGATGATGCGGGTTGAATGCATTTTTCAGAGAAATTTAGTGTGATATATTGTACACCATACAGGCTTACGACAATATGCTTCTATTTAATGAGCAATGGCTATTGTCTTTTGCACGTTATTGTTAATACACGAGATTCAGATTATTGAACTCTGTAATCGTAAAATAATAAAAATTCGTTATGTAGACCTGTGCACTTTACCGTCGACAGGTATATGATATGAGCTTTTATAGCACTAACATTTAATTCTTAAAAATATAACGGTACAATTATCATGAAATGGCTTGTGATAACAATACAATACACGTAAATAACCATAGAAAAAAATGCATTAAAAATTACAATTTATTAATCCTTTTTAAATTTGCACTTCTCACGTGGCAATAATATATTTTTGAAATATTTTATCGAAAAGTAGAAAATTTTGTTTAATATTTTTGATATTGTCGACATTTTTTTTATATAGCATTTTGGCCGAAAACCAAACATAAATATTTCTACAACAGTTTTTTAAATATTACAAACTAAAAAATGTACAGTTATAATTTTTTTTTTATTTGGGATATTATTAGGCATTATAATTTTGTATGTCAAAGGATAGTGTACTGTATATTATACAATCAGTATACACTATACTACAGCTGTTGTTAAAAAAAATCAGAGTTGATGTAATATAAATTATTATATCGTATCGATTTATGTATACGTGTATATGTTTAGAAAAAAAACGAGGTGCGAGTCGGTGATATCAATATATTATGTATAACGTGATATTTATATTATATTCTTTATGCATTATAATAACGGACGGTCGCGGTCGGGTGGAAATCTATTAAACCGGATTTTACACGACAGTATGTATAAACTTTTAGAGGGGACGCGGGGAGGTTTATTGTAGTCGACAGATATATGTATCAATGTATAATAATAATAATAATATATATTATTATGTACAACACGGAACAGCAGGGGACAGCGCCGCCACCGAGATTAGGGGTGGACATGCTCCGTGTCGCGTCGTTCGGTTTCCATTAGGCTAATGACTCCGGTCGTCATACAACACACCCGAACCACCACCACCACCACCACCACCACCTACTTCTTCTTCTTCTTCTTCTTCCCATACCGAACCGTAACCGTTTCCGCACCCTTAACACTTTGACTAAAGTTTATTTGCATTGCGCCGCGATGGACAAACATTACATACCAAAGCGAGGTAAAGCCCTTTGTCGAGCAGCGGGCAAAACTCAGCGGTTAAGCAGCGACAAGTTCATAATATACATATATATATATATATATATATGATTCATACATCCAAGTCGCCATAAAAACGGCTATAATGTTTGCTTTTAAGGTAATATGTGCGTCTTAAGACCGCTTAGCAGCGTGTGAAAAAGCTTCTGTTGTATTGTATGATTTTTTTTTATTAGAAAAGTGGTAAAATCAACCAACCTTGACAGAATGAAAGACTATGTATCAAGAGTACAGATATATACTAGTTTTATTAGTATACAGAAATGGTAAGCTAGTCCTAAAAGTGTTATATTGGATAAGTCCAGTTGCAGAGTGTTACATATGAATTATTCCGTTAGTCTTTAATAATATGTGATTATTTACAAATAAAAATAACGAATAGGTAATGAAAAAACTAAGAATAGTGATTACAAATATTCTCAACAAAAAAACCATAGCATGAATGGTTTTTTATTCATTCGAGTAGATACTTATGTATTGAAAAATATAACTGATCATTTCTGTTGACTTATCTTTTTGTACATTTTTTTTTAGCTAAACAATACGAATTAGCGTTCGACCTCATAAAAAATGTATCGTAAGTAGTAAAAATGAAACGTGATGACACTCACGTTGTCATAATTTACAGTCCAGGGTTGATACGTTTTTAAACATTTTTTGTTGTTATTGTTGTTAAAAAAAAACTACAAATTTGACCAACTTTGTTTTACCTGGTATTTTTCGGTGGATAATTTTACAACTTGGCGGGCAACTTAAGTGTTTATATTATAATATAATCGCTGTTTGGACTTACCGGAATTCGACCCTTCGTTGTGGTGTAACGAGTTGTTACTGCTGGTGTTGTGGTCGGCCAGCGCGGTGTTGTTGTTGTTGTTTTCGCTGCTTTGCAGTTGGGCGGCGATTTTGCTCTTGGCGCTGCTGCCGTTCACGTTCGGATGGTGGTCGTGGTCTTGTTTGCACAACAGCGTGTCGTCCCTGAGCGCAAACTCGTCTCCCGGTATCAGTTGCCTGCTGCACGCGTTGCACCTAAAGCACTCCATGTGGTAAACTTTCGTCTTGGCCCTCATCACGAGTTCGGTCCGGTCGAAGCTCAGGTTGCACTTATCACATTTCGTGCCAAATAGTCTGCAAACACAATGGATTATTATTTTTTATACACCGTTTTTGAAACACCGGTCCTGTGAAATTTAAAAAAAACACACACACACACTTATGACATCCGTCAAAATAATTTAATTATAGTTTTAATCGTAGCCACAATTGTTCGCAGCGCATTTTTCGACCGACGCCTTCGAATGATTTCGCAGAATTTAACGTCCGAAGAGTTTCAAGTCGTGTCTTTTTTTTAAATTTTTTTTTGGAAAAAAAAGGGACAATCATCATTATAAATATTATAAATAAGCGAAACGAAAAAACTCGAAGCTCGAACAAGCTGACAAGCGCCGTGACGAAAAACACTCGGAGATATTGGATACTGGCGGCGGGGCCACCCAACGAGGCGATTTTAAAAATATTTTAATAAACAACTTGTCAACCCACAATTAGCGCGGTTCAAACACATACTGCACCGCAGTGCACGTCTAGCACTTATAATATTATCACTACACATATCTACATACACCGGAGCATATTATTCCCATTTCTGAATTTAACACGTGTGTGTGTGTGTGTGTGCGCGCATCTTTCGAGCACGCTCTATTCTGACATCATAAAAATCTTCCTCACTACCGTACTTACGCTGCTACCGCGCCTTACATAAACAAACATTATATATCCTACCCATCGCTTTCCGTTTACATAATAATAATATACACACACGCGGACCGCAAAAACATTATTATTGTTATTGTTATTGTCGTTGGACATATCGCTATATGATTAATGTTTACTCCGTGTTTCGAACGCTTTCCGAATGATTTACAGTTTAGGTATACATATAAAGAAGAAAAAAAATAAATTCCCGCCGAGCAGTATATAATATAAACAGAAAGAGAAAAGGTTTCGACATCCTTCCGTTATCCCGGCATTGCTCAACAACCAATTATTCCGCCTCGTTTACTACTGAACCGAAAAATTGCTCATATAGAATGTATTTTCATGTATAAAATAAAACACAACAAAATGAAATATTTAACGAGAAAACGCACTGTTTTTCTTTTGTTAGACAAAACAAATGGTATTTTGTTGTTAATTTTATATTTTCGCACCCAATTATAAATGATAAATATTAACTAGTTTTTATTTTTACACAAAATGTTGTCGTCTCGACAATATTATTTATATTTCATCAAATGCGATGATTCAATGGCGTTATTAAATAAATTCGAAGGCCGACTAAATAACAGGCTCTGGCCTACAAAATTAAATACAAATCGATATACCTAACATTATTATTAAATAGAATATATTTCTTAGAAACCGCTTCGGCTATATGAACAAATATTACGATTTCAGCATTTCTCAATCGTCTCAATAAAATTTCTCAATATAAGGGTTACTACTTACTATACAAGGAATAAATACACAATTGAACTAACTAAATAGTTGGCAAAATAAATATTTAGTTGGCACGACTATTTATTTGGTTATTCCAACTATAAATCTATTGTGACCCTGTATCAACCATAGCTGTGTGATACCGCTGCGGCGTATGAAGTATACCATATAGCTCACACTATAAAAAAAGTTTGTCGTTTGGCGGTATTCGTGTGTGACCCTCCGAAACAATAATAAATATATAGAATGCGAGCGTTTATTGACACATTGTCGTCTGTCATGGAAGGCCCCGCAGCCGATTTATTTACTCAAAGGGGAATCGGGTATGAGTACCGTGTAAACATCGGCTGGCATTCGAAAACAAGAGGCGTGCAGATGCATTTGACGTCCGTCAAAAATGTACAGTGTAATCATATAAAAAAAGATCGAATGACCTCGGCCACTGACAACACAAAAGTTACTCTAGATTTGCCCTCTCCGAGGCATGTAAGTATACAAACGACGGTTGGGAAACACATTTTTTCGTGCACAAAAAAAAAAAACAATATATGTACCTAACTACACTGAAATTTACCTTGGACACTCTCAGACACCCCAAATCTATAAAATAACATATAATCATTGATTATAGCAAACATAACATAGAGAAGGAAATTTACTCAAACCAAAAAATAAATCACCATGTTATACTAAACGTGATTCACCAAAATAAATATTACTTGATTGTACACAAACGCAATATTCGTGTTAAGACGTTATATGGTTGCCACTTAAATGCTTATAATATATTATTATGTATATTTGTAATCCATCACATTTTTATAATCGGTATAAATTTATGACACATTGAGAGTTATAGGTTAAATATTAAGACATCAAAGTTAAAAACCGAAACGAGCCTATTTTGGTTGCATATACCTACATATTATTTTCTGCAAATATTAGATTATAACACGTGTCAAGCTGCGGTTATCCGTTGGTATCTACTACAATGATGTAAGTATTTTATATATAAATATGTACCTATTATACCTACAAAATATAATTATCTTAAAATTAAATTGTCCAACTATTGTAATTACTATGTGTGTATATTGTTGATTATATTGTATAGTCACGCATGCATATACAGTCGATTAATTATAATTACCTGACATAATCTAATTTACAATAGGTTTTCCCGTCTCTCACGAAACAGGTACAATGTTCGTCCAAAAACTGATGGCACTCGGCGCACTTTAGGCACGCTGCGTGCCACTCCAGGTCGGGCGCCACTTTTAGTATGTATTGGTCGTTTATCGCACCGCCACAGCCCACGCACAGACTCAGCCGCCGTCTCTCTGAAATATCAATTAAAAAAATACCTGATTTTAAATAAAATCTATATACATATCAATCAGTACGGAGCATTTCGAAAAGAATAATCATAAGGGAATATAGGCGAATAAGGGAATCATAGGCGGAACATGAGCAATCGTTATTAATAATTGCAAAAAGGTAGATTTTTTTTTTACAGCGAAACATTTATAGGATCAGTAATACCTACACATTTTATGTTTGTGCTTTATTGTACATTATTATGAACGATAAAACAATCTATATATTTGTCTATAACATGAAAGTCGACACATATGTCATTATATTAATTCATAAGTAAAAAACATATGATTTCCACAGTTTTTATGGTGATATTAATTATTTTTGCATAATTGTCTTATTTTCGAGTGTTATAAAATATTAGACATAATGATTTTAACCAAATAAATACTTAATTTATTTAACGAGAATCGTTAAATTATAGAACATAAATTATCTACATAGGTAGGAAGGTAATTGCGTTCACAGATAACTTTTTTTTAACTAGATAATAAAATTAATATTTATCTAGTAGGATATAATATAGAAGGTATAATAATTTTTATTTAAATGATTTTGTCTAGATAAAGCAAAACACTGACTGTTTCACATGAACTAACAAGTAGTATTTAATATGTTAATCTTCTAATACTCGTTTAATTGATACGGATTTATTCAATTACATACAACTTCGGTTGGTAGTATAATGACCTAAACCATGCATAATACTTATAATTTTTATTTTAATCAGTAGTCTAGTTTAGTCCGACTAAAGTGGGTGTAGTATATATACAGATTAATATATGTAATATATGTACAAAGTGATAGAGTAAGACAGCAAAGATAGGGTATTTAATAGTATTAATAGACGGGGCAACAGCCAACAGCGGTACACAGGTAGGTACACTGTGTAATAAATATACACGTGCTTTTGGGATTTTCTTTACATCATTGTGTATATAAATTATTGCTTGTAATTATTTATACTTCAGATTAAGTCTATACCATGTAGTATATAGATGGTATACGGTACGGTATAATTTCGCACGTGTCATGTGGACGACGATTCGGCCGCGCTTATCAAAAAAAAAAGGTTAACAACCGTCAATCGTAGTTATTTATAAACATGATATATGTAAAATATTCCATTAAAATATTATTACTATTATTATATATTACAATATAAAAACAAATGGCATTCATATAGGCAGTATATTGTATATTTTGACGTGGCCGTCGTATGTGTTGTGTATAATATAATACCTATATACAAGGATAATCGGTAATAATATTGCGGCCGTCTGTTATTATTTTTTTTTACACACAGGACAAAGCGGATGATTCGACCGAGCGTGCGTGTGAGTATAATAATATGTGTAGAAACATATATTGTAAACAATATATCTATATAGTATATTATATATGTACATAAGTACTGCATATGTATCGGTGTGCGGCCAACGTTGCGGTCGTTCTATTGGTCGTACACGGGCACAGCCCTCGCCGGGGCGGAGTCCAAAGCATACGTCGATTCAAAACCCGTTCGGTGAACAGATAAGGTCTCTCTTTGATGTGCCGCCGCCATGTTTGTACTTGCACGGGATCGACGTGTTTCGAACGACGAATATTATAAAATTATATAGAATAAATAATAATAATAATGTATATTGTGTTCATATAGGTATAGAAGGGTAAATGGTATAGGAAATACCTATATGTACACCTTAGTGAAGGTAGACGACGATGCACAAGTATATAAAACCTAGAGAGAGGGGGGCTACTAGAGGGGCGGGAGGAAGGTAAGGAAATTCGAATTCCTTCAAGATCTCGGGAAAAATGTCAGCAACTAATTTGGCATTACCCAAAAGTAATGGTTTTTTAAAATTATTTTTACAATCAAATATTTGTATTATTTTATTTTTAGCAAAATGTCGAAAAATGTTCGAGTCTAATTTTCCCCAGCTGTCCTCTAGTTGCGTCACTGCATAAAAAATGGATTTTGGAGTCTAACAAGCGATGTACAAAATTACAAGATTAAAACGATAAAAAAAAAAACATAAGGCGGGAGCACAGATATGCTTAGCTATATTATAACTAGATAGCCGACTTCCTATAACAGCAATATCGACCTTTCCTTATCAAACAACAGCCCTTTGATTATATTTTTCTACTTGATAAATGATACTATATTGAAACTATACGTATTGGGAGTGTGATAATTACTGGTTTAAAAAGGTTTTTTTTTTAAATTATAATTACCTAATTATTACAGTAAGTCAATTATTCTTAACTTAATTTTTAAAGGTAATTTAACTATGATAATTTTTATATAATCTTTCATTGTCAATAATCATAATGTAACCAACCGGTTTATTGATATAAAAAGTCGGCTTTTTATTTGTAATAAATATACCTGTGAGCGGGAGTCACTATACTTTTTTTTGGAATTGAAAACATGTCTCGGGAGATGAACATTTTTGAGAATGCTATTTTAGTATATTAACATTCAATTAACTAAAATACATTGAGAAATTAAAAATGTAGAAAATGTGAGCCGTTAACAAAGATACAAGGTTGAATGACCTATAAGTCCTTATATAGGAACGTTATTTGCAGTGAATGACCAAGTAGATGAAGAGCTCGTTTTAACGCTTAATTTTGTTTGTGGTTAAATATTGCTCCTTTTTTCAGATACGTGCATCTTATAAGGTACCATATATGTTCTACTATTAAAAGTTAAGCCGAAATTGCTAAATCTATACTTTTATGCTTAAATTTCTAAAACTGTATAATATAAATGTTCATAAACATTAAAGAATAAATGTGTATAATACATACATTTATTCTTTAATGTTATTTTTAATATATACTATATATCAAAAATAACATTGACCAAATAGATACATTATTTATACTCCTTTGTTCTAACTTTTAATTGAACATCGCAATAACAGTACCATGTTATAGAATAGAAATATGTATGCTACAGGCACACTGCCAGGTATAAACGGGGAATAAAAATAATAATTAAAATACAAATAGCTATTCTACGAGTTGAGCTATTTATTGTAATACACAAATATATTATTGTAAATAGTAGTGCATTAGGGGAACATTACTGCCTATAAGGTTACTTATCATACTTAAATAATCGGTTAAGAAATAAGAAATGAACAAATTACGTATGGTAAATAATTTAAGCATTACGAATTATAAAACACAGTTTTAATTTAGTTCATTTTAACCTGTGAGCCTCAACTAGTTGCTAACTATAGGCGCAGTTAAACCATTTCTATATACTAATACGAGTATAACGTGTAAGTTTCCAATTGTTTGTGCTTTCGAGTATAATGTCATGTTGTTGGATTTTGACAAATTTCGCAAATTACATTATTATTATTATTACTGAATCATATGAATCAATACAGCTACTGGCCACACTCGTTTGTGTGCAATTGTATAGTATAATGCGTGTGAACGTTACGTACACGAGAAACAAAAAAAAAAAAGGTGGTAATTGAAAAAGGTGCCGTTTATTGTACGAACATATATAAGAGATCTCGGGTCCGATCGACTAGGAAATATTACACCAAAACTTGTTTCCTGTCCATATAGTAGACGGGACGTGGGTGGACTCGTGGCGCCTGCGGTGCCGCTGTGTCACCTAAACACCATCGGCCGGTCACATTTTTTACCCGTCGACGGTTATACACAAACACAAAACCGGGTCTCCCATTCATAACAAGATCCGAGATCATCGATTTCCAGCCGAGATAACAGACCGCCAGATATATTGTGGAGATAGTACGTACACATATACTTATAGATAAAATACCTACCCCGGATGTGTTACCATTCTGTCCCGGTGATGTTAAAGTCACTTTACCGAACCCGGTGTCACTACACCTATACTATCTATAGTAATAATTGCAAGCAAAACCCTATATTTATGCCATCGATAAAGTACAAACATATACGTTACCTAAATTTGGTCTATATTTCGAGTGGCGTCGTTTTTTTCAAAGACAAAAATCAGCATTGCGATACTACAGATGTCAGATACACAAAACAATAAAATATAGAGCATGACATGTATACTTGTTGAACTTGAAATGAATACGGTCAAATGTATAGATATGTATTGATATTTCTATCAATGGCATTCGGTACAGTTCAGCACCCACCTCCGTTTGTAAAATGCGGAAGAGTGTGTGTAATATTATATAGAAAATTGTACCTATCCATGAATAATATCCATGAATATCTGTTACATCCTACATAATGCGGTTAAATTAATGTTGATACTTCCTTAATAATATGCAATAGTCTATAATTAGGTATGTGTAGTACCTACAAGATGCTGTGTAGGTTTGTTTTGCACGTTTCAATAAAAATGTAAAACAGCGTCGTGTCTTTGAACTAGACCATGACCATGTGGTGTTCGCATTTCCAACGGAATCCAAAATCGAAAAAGCAAATTAAAAACATATTTTTTTGGCTACCGTCCAAGAAAGTATAAAATGTTATATAAGTAATTGCTGTAATGTAAACCAGTTTATATGACTAGTGTCTAGTACCTTATTGTAAGTTTTGGCCTTTAAAATTGCTCAGTGAGTTATGGTTGAAACGTTGAATATTATGTTTTATATATAAATACATATAGGTATAGTACCACGGGTTGTATAAATCAACGGTAGTATTTACCCTCTCGTGAGTGTCGAATTGTTAAAATAAATACTCGACATTAAAATTAAAAAGTACACTTCGGGTAATCAGGGCGCACTTGAGATATTGTAGGTACTTAACAATTTCACTGACAATAATAGAATAATAGAATAATATATCAGTGTAGCTATACGTATCAACACTGACATCAAATACGTGCTACGATAGAAAGACGAGGCAATGCCGGCGTTTTTGGAAAAATATACAATTACCTTAAGTATTATAATATTGTTTCCGTCTTACTCGGGCTCGTCTCTCTAAACGTGTCGTCGTCCACCGACCA